TGGCCCGGAGGGAAATCCCTCAGCTCTTCGAGGTAGGGTAGGGCCGGCAGAGGGGCGGGGGAGTCCTGGGGGGGGGGGGCGTCTCCGGGGCTCGGGTGAGGCAGGCGCGCCCCGTCCCACCTTCCCCACGCGGGGCGTGGAAGTGAAGGGGCTTGCAGGAGCTGGCTCGCCCGAGGGGAGTCGTCTTTCCCGCGGCTTGCCGGGGTCCCTGTCAGATGGCTGGGCTCAGGAGCCTGCATCTGCAGGTCAAGTTTCAGTCTTCGAGCCGGGTTCTGGAAGCACAGGGACCCGAGCGCACCCCTCGGGTGTGGACACCCAGGGTGGGCTGCAGACAGCGGCCCTGCCGCGCTCTCTGCGGACGAGGGCCAGGCTGGGTGGGTGCACTGTCGTCCAGCAGCGAGTAAGGACTCAAAACCGAGGGACCCCTCTACTCGCCGAGGGTCGGGACCACTGCGGGGAAGGGGAAGTGTGGACGAAAACAGCCCTCCCCAGGGACAGCTTGGAGGCGAGAGATGAAGATGCAAAACGTAAATCCCAGCCCATCAAGTGCAGCGCTGCCTCTCGGGTGACAGGCACCCTTCGCTGCCCTGCGCTTTCGGTGAATGAACTCCTGAGCACGTTTTTCCGTCGCCTTGGAAGGAACGATTTTCCTTTCTCGCATTCGGGCCCGCAGCGTTCTCCTGCGCTCCCCAACCAACCCAGAGATAGCAGGTCGGGGAGGGACACGAGGCGGGCGTGACTCCTGTTGCTCTGTCTTAAGACCGCAGCGCAACATCGTCTGCACCCGGAACCCGGGAACGTGGGGGACGCTTTGAGAATGTGAGAGAGGGGGCTTGAGGGATGAACTAAAGGAACCTTGGTTAGTTCTAAGCCATAGCCACAGTCTCGAATTGTTTTGCACCTTTTCCTTCTCTCAGTATTTCTGAATCCTAGTGTTTTTGCTTAGGGTTAAAAAAAAAAAAAAAAAAAAAAAAAAAAATGGAAGCAAGCTACGCTCCATAGGGGGAGCCCTGAAAGGGGAAATCCATTCACTGTAAACAAGCCCCCAGTTTCTGAAAAATGATAGATTTATATAGTAAACTCAATAAAGGTCATGAGTTCTTTTTCCTGTTCAGGGGACTTGTGCTGTTGAAAGGAATTTTGAAACACCACTTAGGAAAATAACTGTACCCCAGTTTCCCAAAACTATCTTTAAAATGGGCCGCCATAATTACAGGTCTTCACTTTTCAGAGAAAGAGAGAATCTTCCATTTCAGGTTATTTGAAGCCATGATATCCAGGTAAACCATCCCCTGAACTGAAGTCTCCTATGTGAAGCCCAAATGTAGCAAGTGTGTTACTCCTGGGTGAAAATAATCAGATGATGTTGCATGAGGACAGGTCTTGGCAGTGTGTGGGAATCTTATTTAGAATTTTTCTTTTTCTTTTTTTAATTTTGAAAAAGTAAATATGGAGATGAGGAGCTGAAGGTTTTCTCACAAATATTGCTACTGAGATTAATTTCATTACTATACTTCTAAAAGAATAGTAAGATCTGAAGGAGGGCCACTTGATTGCAAAATACTGCTGAATAATACACCTTTTTTGTTTATTAACAAATGTGGGTACTGTTTTTCTTCCTTGGTGGAAGGTAAACACAGAGAACTTTGAGTTTGTTCATGAAAATCTACATTGTGTATGCAAATAAGTGATAACAGGCATCTTTGTTCAGGTTTTATGCTTTTCCTTGGCGTCTCTGCATATGAACTGGACATTTTAAAATAGTGAACACCCAGAAAAGGAAGTCCTCCTGCTTAGGTGAAATGCAGTAATGCAGTGTACTTAGATTTAATCCTGGATAATGGGAAGATGGAAGGAGACGGCTGGTGACCTCCAAAGGCTCCATCCTTCCAATAAGATTAATCTGTGCTCTGCACAGTACAAGAGGGAAGCAAAACCTGGCAGTTCTCCATGTGATGAGTGTAGACTACATGAAAACCACAATAATCTAGGAATATAAAATTTAACAATTAAGTATCTATCAAACCCCAAAACACTGGCCCCAGCTGTCGCTATTAGACACCATTATAAACCAAATAACTGATTATTGAATATACATATTGTCAAACAACTAGATATATCTAACTGATCTTTTCAGATTTCTTCCTGATTTGAGACATCACCTGGGCTAAATGGGATATGGGATATCTCTGGTAGGTTCGTGTTTGAAATGTATTTCCATTTTTAGATTAAATTGTTTTAAAAAACCGAACACTTTCTCCTGATTTTGTAATGACTTCTTAATTCTAGCTAACCTTACGGTGTGTATATTGAGTTTGTACATTAGAGCAGAGATTTGGCAGTTAATTTGAATGCTACAGAAAGTCAAATTAGATTATTTAGGTTCTCAAAGAATTAATTCAGAGACTGAGTAATAATGTTTGCTGGTTGTCTTCAATCCCTGATAGTGGCTGGCTATTAGAAGAACGGATTTAAATTATCCAGGAAGAAGTAGGACCCATTGTGCCTTTTTAAAATCAGTGTTTTGGGGGGAGTCAGTTTTGTCTAGGGAGGCTGGAAGTGTATATTTTCCAGTCAGAAAAGCTTCACTGAATGCATTCACTCATTTTAAGCAATAACACAGATAGAAAAATTAAAAGACCTAATCCTGAGTGATTCCTATTGTAGTTGGATTATGCATGGAGTACAGAGAATCTGTTATTTTCTTTTATCCCATATTATATTTTCACAAGATGTATAGAGAGGAACATATGGGTTTTAGAATCAGAAACATTGAGTTAGACCCTGGGCCAAGGAGTTTCTAGCTTAGTAACCCTGAGCAAGTCACTAACAGATTTCCTAATCTATAAAATTGGGATAATAATGCCACACAAGGCTGAGAATGTATTGGGTAAGCTAATGCATATAAGGCACAGAGGTCTTTATATATTGACACAGCTAATACTGGCTCAGTATGTAGGAGAAATGTGAGAAGCCGAACTGCAATATGTGTATTCATAGCACAAATTTTGACGCACAAACTGCCCAGGTTAGTTTTTCCCACTCTTTCTGCAATTCAGCTCATGTGATGGAATTAAACACTCTAAACCACTCTATTCAGGATTTCAGAAAACAATTCTACCTAGCAAGAATTGCCACTCATTCTGGGCAAATCGCACAAAAATAATTTGAAAAGAAAAGAAAAGATGTCAGCCTTTCTAAGGGTGTGTGTTTTGTATATGAATAATGTATATTGGTGATAATCCTTTATGCTTTTTCCATGAAATACCCTAAAGGAAAATATTTTGTACATCAGCTTAGTTCCCAGGAGTCAGGATTTCCAAACTTGTAGCATTTTTATAAACTAACACATGTGACACGTTGGACACCATGAACAGAAAAAGTAATAGCAGGATCATACTTTTTTGCTCAGCCACTCTCTGTAACTGCAGTGAATATTGTGGTGATTATTACATATCAAATAGCAATTTTTTTGAGTCTCAAACTTCAATTTTTTTGAATCTTCTTCAGACTTGAGTTTTTTATTTTTAATTTTTTTATCGTACATATTTATGGCATACAGTTTGTTGTTTCAATACATGCATATATTGTATAATGATCTAATCAGAATAGTTAGCATATCTATCACCTAAA